TAATTTATATTTTAAGGGGTGATGTTTGGTTTTTTTTTTTTTAACGAATTCTTGCTTGTTAGTTTGAGCGTGCGATGGGCAGGACAGCAGAAGATAAACTGAAGCAATCAATCAAGGTGAAAGGTGGCCATTGGCACAAGGGGCGGGGGTTGTGCCGGTGCATTGAAAGGCTCTCTGTCCATGCTCAGAGTGCCTTTATTCAGAGGCACATTCATGCCCCGAGCTTCCCTCTGCCTGTCCTGGCACCTGAAGCCTTAACGATCTGCTTGGTTCTGCCTGAACGATGGAGACCTGCAGCGATTCTCCCCGATTCCAAATGGAAAAGGGTTGGGGGGTTTCCGTGAATCCAGCTGCTCTTTCTGGGTTCCTGCTGGCACCCGCGGCTTCCTCCTACCTGCTTCACGGAGGCTCCCTTCTTTGTCAGGCTTCAAAGGGCACTTTCATGATTTATATGCTAATAGAATAAACAGGGGTGGCCAGGCAGACGCTGTTAATTAGGAGCGCCTTTTATGTGTGGGGGAAAAACACTTTCCCGTGGCCTGCCTGCCTTTCTGTTTTAATTGGGAGTTTTCTGCAGTGGTTTTATTTCCCTGGGTGGATCCGGGCCAGGTGCGTCTCTGCATGATGCTTTGAAGGTCCGGGAAAGGCGGCAGGGAAAATCAAAGTAATGCGTGGTTTGGATACACGTAGAAACACGGGTGGAAGAGTTGAGTTCAAAACGAGAAGTTGCATCTTGCTCCCAAAGCGTTGCGGCTGGAGTCCGTCTGTGTTTTGGCCCCCAGAGGTCAAGGAGGAGCACCTCCATTTGGGAAAGGGCCCACTAAAGGGAGCGATATTCTGATTATAAAGAGGAAGAGTAACCGGTGGGCAAAATTAAGGCTAACAATCCGTTTTTCCCCCCGTCGCTCTTTTTAAAGAGCCCCCAAATAAATGGAGTCAAGTGCAAAGCGGGGACTTGAGAGGCAGAGCCAGCGTTCTCTCAGCCAGCCTTTCCAAGCTGCTAGTCCTCAGCTTCCATCTGTCAACGGGATGTTATTTTAGTTGCAGAAATATGGGAGTATGTTTTCTGCAGGCCCACACTTGTATCCCAGCCTTCTGGCAGGGACTTGGGGATTGCGTTCGGGGAAGCAAAACTGTATTGCTAATTATATCTCCGTATTTCTCTTTTTTTTCCCCCCCAATGGTCATTCCTCTATGTTTCTGTTAGCAAGGTGGCCACCTGGTGATTGCCAGTTTGCAAAACCTTCAGGCATTCTCTGAAGCATCCAGTTAAGTGTGTGTGTGTGTGTGTGTGTGTAAAATCCTGGTTTGTGTGGGCTGCGATAGATTCAGTCCTGGCAGATCCACTTTCTCCTATCTCTGGCTCTTACGTTGTTGCCCTCAGCTTTATGTTCTCCAGCCCAGAGGTTTCCCCGTTTCTGTATCACGGGATTGTTCCCACCCCACTTTTAGCCCCATCAACCTGACCCCTCATGGTACTAGCACACTTTGGTGGCCATACTGGCTGTGGATGATGGGAGTGTGTAGTGCAGCACGCCTCGAAGGTAGACCGTATTGGAACAGTTGTGTCTTCAGAGCGGAGAAGGACCATTACGCCAAACACCCTTAAAATAAATATTTTCCAGCATGGTTGAACAGAACATGCCAGCAGCCTACCTGTGTCACGTGGGAATCGTTTTGGAGGTCTAGTTTTGGTTTAAGTGGGGAAGCAAAAAGAGGTCCTGGAAATGAATTGGACAAATGACAAAATCTGGTATATTTGACCGTCACGTGGATGAAGTTCTTGGCGTGTATATTGATCGCACATTGAAAGACATTGCAGGAACCCGGGAGAGCTCTTCGAAAATGAACACCAAGGTACAAATGTCGGTGTTTGTTTCCCCGAGTCGTTTCATGCATCGCGTTTGCACGTGTCATTCTTTCTGGTTTACCTGGAGCTAGATCGTTTGAAGGGCTGAGATATCCGAGGGATTTTGCTTCTGCGTCGGCTCGTTCACACATGCAGATCGCTTCGTCCTTCTTTTAAGAACTGGTCTGCAGATGCTTTTGAGCAGAGAAAGATGCAGTTCTTTCCTCTGGCATTTCCTGTACATGGAGGCTTCACTGCGTGGTAAGGGATCCCTCCATCCTCTGTGCAAACTAGCCGTACGGAGGACGGCTTGTCCAGCTTCCCAGAGACTCAACATGCACGTGTGGATCAGGCGGGTAGGGGAGACACGGTTGCTGAGGGACTGGCTTGATGCTGCGTTGATGACGAGGGTGTTTGGAGAACGTGATGCTGACGGTCTCAGCCGGAAGGCAGAGAGTCTGTGAAGGAAGAAGAGCAAGCTGAAATTCTTGTTTGGAAGGTGGTAGCGTTGGGTTTTGCCCAGAGGGTAAGATTGAGGATGTCAAGCCAGGGAAAGCTGGGTATGGTCTTACAAAGAGACAGCGAAGAGCCTCTTCGAAGAACAGGCCGTTCTCCCTCGGTCTCTCAATTGGGAGAGAGCAATACACCCAGAGCAGGGACTCACACAGAGAGGCAGTGGGCAACCTCCCTCCATTAGTGGGAGTCTCTGCATCAGGAATGCTCAGCGACCTGGTTGGCAGGCAGAGAAGCGCCAGAAATAACCCGCCTTGCATGAAGCAGGCTGGCCCGGAATGAATGCCCCACTCCTGGTCTGGTGGCAGAAGATAAAGACTCTCCCTGTGAAGAAAGGAAGTTGCTAGTCCTCATGGTCTGAAAAGAAGGGAACCCTTTAAGTTGGATCGTTGGAACCGATTCCTGACATGGAGTGGCAGCCAGTCTCCCTGGGGGCTGGGGGCTTTCTGCCCGTCCCAATTGGTTGCAGTGACCATACCCCGTTCTTCAACCTTTTGGCCCCCCCTTTTGAGCTCAAGTGACATTTCGTCCCAGCCAAGGACTCACCTGCTCGTTTGGGGCTCAGCACCCCAGCCTGCTGAAGGCTCCGATCCGGTCCAGCTTGGCCCCGAAGCAGCCCCGCGACTGCCCCTTTTTGCTCCTGGCCTGGTGCCCCCTCGCGGAGCCGAGCAACTCGCCAAAGAGCTGCTCCAAACCCCCGTCGTCCTGCAGGCTCCCGGCCCACGGGAAGACCACGTCCGGCTGGCCCAACGCTCCGGTCATCAGGGACTCCTCCTGCTCTCGGTCCGTCTCCTCCAAGCCCACCGGGGACTCCAGGCCTTCCTCCAACAGTTTCGACAAGCCCTGCAAGCAGGAAGCAGGAAACCTGATCTCCTCTCGGCAACGTGGAGAGCCGGCTAGCCTCCCTGCGGCAAGAGAGAGGGCCTCTCTCCCTCCCCACCCCAGGGGTATAACTGCATCGACTTCCAGGCCCATCCGAACAGGGCGCCTTCCCAACCGGGCATTGGCATCTCCCACCAGCTTTTCAAGCAACTTGTAACCCCAAGATTGTCCTAGCCAAGTCCCCCCACTCAGAGCCCGTGCGCCAAGCTCGTTTCTCCCCGTGTTTGGAATTTCTCTGCACCCGGAGAGCCTGGTAGCGGGTTCTTTTTAAAGGGAGCCCACGTAGCTTTGGAGCCTGTACACGGGAAAGGGGCCTCCAGGTGCAGAAATCCGCCAGGTGTGGCCTCCCTCTTACCTGGATCTCTGTCAGCGGCTTGGCTCTCCCTTGACCACATCCGAGGAGCAAAATCAGAAGGAGCCAACCTGGGCAGGGCACCTGAAAGGTCATCCTTGCTCTGCAGTGGTTTCTTGGACGGGGACCCCTTTCAGTCCTCCTCTCCGCCAGGTGCCAAGGTGAGCCGGCCTGTTTCTCTTGGCTGCTTTTATATCTCCCTTGGCCCCCCCAAGGCCCCCTCCCAGGTGCCAGAAAAGGCTCAGGGATTGGTTTAAGTCCTCTCATCCTTTGTCGACGGAGGAGGAGGAAACAAACTCAGCATCTCTGCCCGTCCGTTCTCTCTGCAGGGGAAGCCACCTCCGTTTCTGCCTGGCGGAACAGCACGCCCAGATGTGCTCGGGGGAGATCAAAACCCCTGGACGCACAAACCTCGGCCACTGCTTGCAGGCCAGCTGTTGAGAAACCCTCCCCAGGCTTAGCTAGATGGCCGAAGGTGGTTTGGACGGGTTCCCCACCAGGAAAATAGTGAGTGGAAACAACTCAAAGGGAAAAAGAGAGAGGACTCTCGGAGCGA